ATACCGTCCTCATCACCGTTTCAACTACAGGTAGATGGTATGGATGAGGATATCAAAACCGAAAGGCAAGACCGACCTGCGTCAGTCTGAAATCAGTTTGGAAATCTACTCTACTCAGTCTGGTGAAAGAAATCCGGATTTTCAACACAGATGTGAAGTCAGTCAGTTCTTTCAAGTTACAGAAAACTATTCTAACAGACTGTATACCTTTAGCGAAAACTGTCTTTGCTAGCTCGACACTGAAGATCAAATGGCCTGAAAGAATTGGCAACAAGAAACTCTGGGAATGAACCAACCAAGAAGCTATTGATTGAAAAATGGGACGAAGAAGATGGATGGGGTACACTCTGAAGAGACGACTGACTGAGTGATATCGTGCTCCAGGCCATGGAGCGGAACACGAATGGAAAACAAAGAGTTGGGATGATATGAATGATATCATATGTGGAGGAGATGAGGGCGTGTGGGCAGACAGACCAAGAGGGCTGCACAGAACAGGATGAAATAGAGATATACTGGTGGAACCCTACTCTTACCACTCGGAAACCAAGAGAATAATAATAATAATAACAGGTGAACATGAAGGGTTCACCCAAGGAAGGTGGACAACTTTAATTCCGAATCAGTAGATCGCATAACCTCCAAAATTTGATAAGAACAAATAGTATGTAAACTTGCTTTGGTCTCCAACAACCATGAAAATGTTATCTTCTGAGACAAACGTTTTGACGTGATTGTGTTCCGTGAGTTGAGTAATTTAACTGAGAAGCTTTCATTGCCCTTCCATTTTTCTTGAAGATAGCTAAATAAATAATTCGCTTCCATTCTCCTCAGCACTAGAATGCCTCAGTACGTTTTGGCTCTTTTGAATTATGTTCATATGTAGTTTCCATTGTGTGTTGTCAGCGTACTGGTGTTGTAGTTAAGTACTTGTTCTGTGTAGGTTGACTTCCTGCATACATGTGTTATGCTTGCCTGCTCAGCGATGATATCTAAGGAAGGAATTTTATTGCCTGATTGTTTTTCTCTTGTGAATTTAATGTCTTCAAACACTCTCAGGACATTTGATGATACACAGCTTATTTGAACAAAAGATATCCACTTTCAACTACAGGCGAACTGACGAGGATATCAAAGCCAGAATCGGAAAAGCAACACACGTTTTCATTACTCTCAAGTCTGTGTGGAGGTCAACATCACTCAGCATCAAAATAAGATCCGGATTTGTAACTCCAATGTGAAGTCAGTGCTACTCAATACGGATCAGAGACTTGGCGAGTCATAAAGACCATCTCCAACAAACTACAGACCTTCATTAACAGTTGTCTTCGCTCAGTACTCAAGATCAGATGGCCGGACGGAAAAGATCAGCAATAGGGATCTCTGGCAATGAGCGAACCAACCAGGAACCGATTGTGAAACAAATAGGCAGGAAGAAATGGAGATGGATTGGCCATACTCTGAGACAACAAACCATCAAGTGACATCACTAGACAAGCCATTGCTCGAGTGGAACCCGAAAGAGAAGCGGCGAGTTGGTCGTCAATGCAAGGGTGACTTGGAGGAGGTCATGTGATGAGGAGATGAAAGCATGTTGGCAGACCTGGAGCGGAGTGAAAAAGTTTGCAGAAAACAGAAGGCAATGGAGACGCGCAGCTGAAGCCCTATGTTCCACTAGGAATTAAAGGATAAAATAATAATAATAATATCCACTTTGTGAAACTGTGAAACATATTTTGCAAAGTTGAAGATGAAGTTTACTTTACATTGAATACTTTAATTACGTCTTTATTAGAAAAATGAGTATCCTGCACTACCCATATTGAAATAACGTTAGATAGTCAAGACTGTTTGTTTTCTTTAGGGATGAAATTTATTAAGCAAACTGGTGTTTTCCTTCAGGATGTTTAATTCTTCAGAGGTATTTATATATTAAATTCAAATTTGAAGTTTTCATATTAATTTGTAATTTACACAATTCGAGATGAAATTTCAACACAACATTTTCTCCAAAACTAAAATTATTCCGATCACAATATTCGATCTACTTGACATCATAATTAGCAATCAAGAAACCAAGCTTAAGTATAAACTCTAAACTGTAATAAACACGAAGATCGGATACAGAATATAGTGAGGTGGATAAGTTGTAGTATTATTCTAGGAATATTTCAGGTCAAAGGTTAAATTAGTAAGATTACATAATAAATAATAATAATACATAGATAATAAATTTGATAGATCAGACGAATGTTCCGGTGCCAAACTCAAATGACAGTGCAGAACATTTCAAATCAACTATTTTGAGTTGCCACCTCGATTGCATCAACAAAAAACCCAGTCTTCGTAATATACTCTCAAGAGAACATCAAAAGCAACTCTGAGAATTGAAATCAAATGAAAACATGATAATAACTCAACAAGACCAAGGTTCTGGAATTGTTCTGCTCAACAAGTCAGACTATTTGAAGAAACTGTCGCTAATTGTATCTGATGACAACAAATTTCAAAAACAGACGATTCAAAAAGATCCAGCTGAATAGACGGACCTCCAGCTAACCGAATTATTGAAAAAATAGAAAGATGAATCAATTATTGATACAGAACTATATGAATAACTTCGCCCATCTGGTTCTACATCGTCACGAATGTACAAACTACCCAAAGTGCACACAAAGGACGTCCCACTGCGCCCAATACTAGATAAGATTTATTCTCCATATCTCCTAATAGCGAATTGGTTGGTAGAAATTCTTGGACCGGTGAAAGGAAAGCTGTCAAGATACAACCTCTGCAACACATTCGATTTCGTTGAATCAATTAAAAATGTCAACCTCGCAGATAAAATCGTGGTCTCTCTAGACTTCCTCTCTCTCTTCACCAATGTTCCACTGACAGAAACTACATGTTTTCTGTGTGACTTCATCCAGACGTCGGCATACCGATCCATTATGTAAAGGAACTGTTATTACGTTGTACCTTCAACGTCGATTTCAGATTCAACGATGAAACCACGGGCAAACAGATAGCGTAGCAGTGGGCTGTCCACTGGGACCCCTCTTGGCCGACTGTTTTATGACCAACCTCTAAAACAACTTTTTGTCATCGATTACCATTGACCTTCATCTTTACAACAGATACATTGATGATACTCTCATCATTTGTGATGAGAACCTGGACTTTGAAAATCTTCGACAATGCCCACCAAAACATCAACTTTACTCTTGAAGCTGAATCCGAAGGAATGTTCCACTTCCTCAACGTCTGAAAAGAGACGCCGACAACTCTCTGAAAAGGTCCGAATACAAAAAATCAACACCGAATTGACGATTCATAAATTTTTAAAGCTTCGTATACTTTAGCAGAAAGAGGAACCTTATATACGCTCCTTACTTGAGGATTTGGAAGACATGCAGCAAGGAAGCGATTGACGAGGAACTGCATTATCTCTGAGGAACCTTGATGGAAAACATTTTTTCGCCTAGGTTCATAGACAAGAATCTCAAATCAAAGAAGACTTCTGAACAATTCCAATCCATCCCGAAGAAGATACTTCTGCTCAATCAAGAATTCAAAGGTGATACTGAAGCAGAAATCCTTCAGAAACGCCTCTGCAAATCTCTGGGGAAAACATACTTCGCCACAAGCTTACGACTGAAATTTTCCTCCAAGAAACTGTTCAGCCAGAAAGACAAGCTGTCGTATTGGGCCACTTCAACGTGCATATACCTGTTTACTTGCTTGTGCGGAGTACATCGGCCGTATCATGCGCCAACTTGCAAAACGTGATCGTTAACACTATCCAGCCTGGTTAGTAAAAGCAGAACGTAAATGTGTATATTATTCAGTGACAGGACATCTGGTCAACTCAGAACATTCAGTGCCTTTCGAAAAATCCTTCAGAATCACTTACAAGATTCGATCAAACGTATCAAAGGGAGTAAAATTAAGACATCTGGGCATAGCCATAGCATTAGAAACCCAAAAGCTCAAACCTACGCTATATATTCAAAAGAAATACACCCAACCCTTATCCCTGCCATTACCATCATAAACAGATAACTCTTAATAGTGACTAACCCATTACCTTTCTTATGCAAACTTCATGTTTATTTAGTTATTCTTAAGTTCTTCTTAACCCCTATTTTTACTAACATATTTTCATATCCTAAATATTTTTTCATTTTACTATTTCTACATATTTAAGCCCTATGTGCACAATCACTTATTCGTCATATTAGTTATGATCCAACTAGATTTTTTATCCAGCCATCCTGTCTATTTTTGTTATTTCTACATTTCTAACCCCTAATTGCACAATATGTCAATCTTCTCAGTAATTAGGAAGCTATTTTGTTTGAGTTTTATCCATCCCCCGTGTTTATTATGGCACTTTAATTCCTAATTGTAATTTTACTGATCTGACCCTTGGCTAGAAATTATTCTGGAACTTTCCCATCCATTTATTATAAATACACGAATGTACAGCCTAGTTGATGAGTTCGTCGAAAAGAAAATTTTCTTCGCTGCAGCCGTCTCTTCATTACTCCCTATTATCAAACATATAACTATACACTACTGATTGACTGAGATGGATAGTTGCACGCCGCTTACATCAAACAATAATGCTTGCTAGAGAGACAGACAGAAGTAATCTAAACACCGGAAGGCCCTTTCGCTCGTGTAGGGTCAAGGTCATCATCGACCCCAAACCCGGTTTTAACTCACCTTAGAGAATAGTTTCAGTTCAAACCACTCTAATTTGACTAACAGTCATACCAGTTCGCCCGGGTAGCTGGCAAGAAGTCGAGTGGTTTGAGCTGATTTGGCTGTGATCAGCTGATGATGAGTTTGGCCTAAAACTGGCAGAACGACCATACGCTGTTTAGACCACTCAGAGTTAATGGTATTCAGCTACTCATCTCAGTCAATCATTAGTATGTAATTTTATAACATTGTTCTCATTCATCAAAGGATATTTTTAAAGTACAACGACTCACCTTGAATGAGGCAAACATAAGTGCAGTTTTCCCTGTACTAGTTTCTGTCTCTGTATTCGCATTGGCTTCCAGTAAAATAGACATCATACTGAAAAGAAATAAGACCGGACATATATCTTTGACGGGTAAACTCTTTACATTATTTAAAAGACAATTTATTTCATTTTAGATGAGTAATTTAAGAATTTTTAACAGTTTTTGTCAAGCATATTAAACACTTCAGTATCATATGGGGCCCACGTAACTCTTTGATAACCACTCAAAATATACAGATGAATACTAAATGGCAATCATACCATTTTTCAGTGAGAGAAGATAAGAAGTTTCAAGCGCTATCAGTATAAATCCCTAAGATAACTGAGCTCTTGACTCCAGAACATTCTGTTAATGTCTACAAGTTCTAAGCTGCCTTCTAACATAGAAGAGTGAAACGTCTACGAAAATGCGTCATTTCAGTATCATTTTAATTCTGCTGATCTTCCTCCTTTCCTCTTGTGGAGGTCAAAAAGTATCAAATTATATGTTAATTGTAAAATAGTAAAAATGATGAATTCACTGCCCATCATGGCTGTTAATTGATATTGAATATGGACACCAAGTTGTTCACCGTGCATTATGGACGACACAACTTCCCTTCTCCAGTTTCTTTCGTCCCACTATTGGCAATCATTTCTGCCCCGTACCTGATCCATATATCCACTTTCGGATCCTTTATTACAATCTCCTTTTCTCTCCACAAGTACCCCTCAGGCTGTCGGCATACTCTTACGTGGAGTGAGCAATAGCAGATCAAAAAGGAATACTTCATTACTAGAGTTCTGTATGTCTTTACTTGTTTATTTTTGGGACAATTATAACTCACTAAGCAATTATATTATATTTGTGGGGACTGGATTCTTCTCTACATACATATATGTATATTTATTTACATAGATCTATATATACCTTATCACAGGTTTGTATTTGTTGTGTCCTTTTTCTTCGCATATAAATGATCTTAGCCGTTTAGTCCACAACACTCTTGCCGTATCTGTAACTACACTTAACCTCAGGAGAGTCGCTTTCAGTATAGTTTTATTGCTTTTCTTGGTTTTCACTGATGCTTTATCCCCTTTCAACACAAGAGATGTGAAAAATGGCTTCTTTTCTACAGTTGCAGGTGTGTACTTCACTATCTCTTGTTTCCTTTACTTCAAGATAAAGTTCACTGTTCATGGGACTTTTTTCAACAACGATGAATTCCTTTTCAACGTTTTTATTTTACGTAAAAGCGTTCATGCTTTACTAAAACCTTCCTGATCAAATTTCGTAAGTACAAAAAGGGTAAGCTAAAGTTATGACAGTCTATTTCTCTTTTCTACTTATGGTTTTCTCAATTATTTCATTATTTCTTCATTGTATTTTAGTGAAATCCTGGTATTTCGACTATTCATCATATCCATGATTCAATTTAAACCTGATATGAAATTGATTTTCATCAACTTTTTCATACATCTGGAATGATTTGTTGCAGGATTTCATCGTGAGCTGGCATCAGTTAGAGAACCATTGGAAAACCTGGCAGCACTGGACAGCTGTTTCGTTCTGGCGCTTGGAACTCTTCATCACTAAGCACCCACCGCCAGAGTTTGCACCCAGGGCCTTTTGGTAAAAAGGCGAGCTCGTAGACCATTAAGCCACTGGGACCCGATCCAATCGCCAGTTCATGATATCTAACTTCTGCCAAATAATCAAACAAATAAAAAATCCCTACAAAAGCCAATACTTGAAAATATCTGAAATGAATAATCTATATTACCATAGAAACACAAACGTCTCCCTAGTATATTCATAGTTTTTTCTACTGCTTTAAATTTCAATTGTGTTCATTTTTAAGATGCGACATAAAGATTCCAACAGGAATGAAAGCTCGGTGGTCAATTCACAGTCACCTTAAGTAACAAATGAGGTAAATTAAATTCCCGCCTCCTTAAAACATGAAATTAGTTAGAACTCAACTGGCTTCTTGACGATAGTACTCACTTGATGAGGCTGAAGTTAGTGAAACGGGACTCGAACACACGACCCACTGCCTGACAGTTAAATGATTAAGCCAGTGAGGTATTTCTCACCTTCTTGGAACTATGAAGTAAAAGAATATTGATCTTAACAGACAAGAGCACAAATGACCTTGAAACAAACAATTAGACTAAATCAGTCTAATTTAGGTGAAAAACAGAAGTGTAAGCTGGGTATCATAATTTTAAAAATTTTCTAAAAACTCTAAATATCTAACAGCAGTATCAGTGATAATCTAAATAACTACCATTTAGGATTAGATTATGGTAGGTTTAAGGTTATATTAAATTTATAGTTCAAAATTATTGATTAGGGTTAAGTTTAAGGAAATTTTCCGAATGAAAGCTTTTCCTGAACAGCTCTCGTTATTATTATTATTACTGAATTGGATTTATTGGTTGTAACTGCACTGTGACCTATGAAACCTCTGATTGGTCGCTTCAGACTCATTCATCAAGTGCCTATTAGCTTGGATCATTATTCTTTATATTCAGCAATTATTTAATACCTAAATATGTTATCTGAGTGTTGGTGGCTTAGAAGTAGATTGCTCACCAATCACACATGCGGTCCAAAAGGGTTCGACTCCCAGTCGGCGCACTCTTTTACCTCGCTAAGCCGGTAATAAGACCGGTACAGAAGGAAGGTTGGGCATGGGACTAGCGACTCCCCTCCTCCATAAAACTAATAAACCACTACTATCGAAACTTCAAAGCTCTAGATTGAAGCCCTATGTTCCTTCCACTGGGGAAGTAAAGGAATAAAATAACAGAATATTCATGTTAAAGTATTGATTGGAATGACGGCGAAATATTATTTACAGTTTATATAATTAACCAGTTGAAAAAGACTTACTCAGGTAGATTGCGTTGTGCACAGTACATTAAAGGAGTAAATCCTAGATTATCTGGTGCTTCGATGCACCCTTGCCTGAAAGAAAAGAAATAGATCATCTCAGGCAAATATGTAACTTTTAAAACAGTTGTATGTAGTTTTCTCAAGTTTTCCTTTGTATTGGCCTGATCAGTATGAAGTTAGATCATGAGTTGACATCAGTTAGAGAACCACTGAGAACTATGGAGTATTAGACAGTTGTTTCATCCTGGCAGTATGTATCCATGACCTCATCGCCAGGGATTTAACTTAGGACTTCTAGGTAACGATACTATTCCGTCACTGTGACGGAATACAAAGCCCAAGAATTATAACCAGTATTTGAATATATGCGTGGGTGGTATAGCGGTTAGGACGCTTGCCGACCATGAACATGGTCCGGGGTTCGATCCCCGGCCGACGCACCCGTTTACCTCGCTGAGCCAGAAATAATGCTGGTAAAGAGGAAAGCCACTAGCTTGAAGCCCTATGTTCCACTGGGAACATGAAGGAAAAAACTAAATTATTATTTGAATATATGATAAAGTTGCCTGGAGTTCCTTTGAAGAGTTGTAACCAGTGGGGTTGAGGTATTATAATAACCGAAACTCAAGTATTTCGGTCTGAAAAGGGTAACCACTCGATACTCTATTCTGTTTAGCATGCTTAACCTTTGCGAGTCATGCACAGTCCAGATTTATTCCAGTAATGTTAAAAAAAACTATCTGAGTGATAGAATCTGCGAGAATCTTGTAGGTATTGGCTCCATCGATTTTTCTTGGAGATGTGCCCGATATGCCAAAGATTAGGCTGACGAGATTTTATCGATCCTACGATTTCCACAATGAATTACCTAGGGAGATGTGCACTTGACTGTTTCACAAAAAGTGTTAGCAGTATACACACCGTCCTTAGATAGTCCAAAATTATAAAGCTTTACATGTCCTTGACGGTTCAGTAACACGTTATTACATTTCAGATCCTTGTATATTATACTAAAATAATGCAAATACCTGTTATCTGGGACTTTTTGGAAGCATAGAATCATGTAGCGTTTTTCTGAAAGGCCTCTTTGTGTTTTAAATAGCTAAGAAATTGTAATTAAGGAAAATATTCAAGCACAGTGTATAGATTTGAATGATTTTGAAGCGTAAAGTGAAGTTTCACCAGAAATGAGTGTTTTAACATCCTAAGGATGTTTCTTTCAGCAACGATGTGAGCTTTATCTTCTTGAATGCATGCAAGCGTGGCATTTTCCTAGACTTGCCTAGCGTATAGTTAGCTCCCTTTGGACAACACTGTCTCCATTTCGAACTAGAAAAACCTTCCTGTAACCTTCTTATTTGCCAATCACACGTTGTGTGTTGAATTTCTCAGAATTAACACCACTGTTTGGACTGACAGTTTTCTAACAAATCCTGTTTGTTGATTTCCTGTTTTTAAATAAGGAGACTTTGTATCCTTGTTCGGTTGATCCAAAGACGAAGAAGTTTTTTTGTTCAAAACGAGTAAGTTATTAATACTGTCTGTTTCTTCATCATGGTGAAACTCCGTAGACAAGAAATTCGATCTCTACCGTATTCTTTTGGTAAGGGAAACTGATAAACAGGTGAGTAAAAATCTTATTTTGTTCTCTTCATCACAAATCTCTCTTTTTTTCAGTTACTCTAAAGCCAATTAAATGATAAGTGACTATATTTGTACTTAAAAGAGAAGAGTTATGTTTAACTTCAGTCTGTCTTCAGGTAAAATGCTGACTTTCCCAGATTAGTTCCCATCATTAGTTGCATTTCATTCTCAAAATTACAGTATTATCACTTTGTTATAGTCTGGTATTACGCAGTTTGTACTTTTACAGTTTGTTAACCCTTGTATTATATCTACCCTCCTTTAATGTTCGTCCTGACAACTTAAAACAATACTTGGTTACATTGCGAAGATTACCAAGACCTATTGGTAGGCAAATTTGCGTATTTCTAAGCTAACTCCTTGGTTTTGTTGTTTGCAGACATTTGAACTCACGCAAGAAATTATTGAAAATTATCTTGTTGTACTCTTAGAAGCCTTTTCATGCATAAATATTTCCTTGCATCTCCTCAGATAGGACTAGAAACAACTATAAAGACTTTATACTCAAACGCCTAAATTTGAAAACTCAACTATTCCTTATTCAGGTGTTGGTTTGTAGGAATTTGATCGGTTACAGGATTTCATCATGAGCCGACACTGGTTAGAGAGCCATTGGAAAACAAATACTTGCCTACATCATTGGCTAGTGGTCACGCTATGTCATGAATTGGCAGAAGGTAGAATTCATGGGCCATTGGATCGGGTCCCAGTGGCTTAGTGGTCTACGAGCTCGCTAGCTTTGTAACCAGAAGGCCCTGGGTTTGAACCCCTGTGGGTAAGTGCCGTTGAAGAGTCTCAAACTAGGACGAAACGGCTGTCCAGTACTCCCAGGCTTTCCAATGACTCTCTAACCAATGTCAGCTCATGATGAAATCCTGTAATCAACTATACCTTATTTGACACCATTCTAATATGATAAAAAAGGGTTTAGCACGAAAGTACTAACTAAATGCACAACGGTAAATAAACCGCCCTTCTTTTCATCAATATATCGTTATCACTGCTCTCATTAATTTATGATTTATTTTTATGTTTATACAGTATCGCCATTATTACTATTAGTAGTATAAATACCATAAACGTTCCGTAATTATTTTCCCCCGTTACTGTGTTTCATGAGGAGAACTCTAGATACAGAATTGAACTAAATACTGAGGATTCCACGGTCTATCGAAATTACTGTTTGGAATGAAGCCGTCATCATCAATTTCGAAGACCGCGCCAAAACTAAAATTAAAATGGTAATGCACATCAGGACAGGCAGAACAACCGATTTAATTTCAAAAATAGCATTCATTGATTCACTAATCTATACTCCAATAAATGAGGTATACTTGTGTCGGTGGGACCAAAGTTGGTGGAGATAGATGAGTCGTCTAGAAAACACCAAGTATTTGGTGTTTATTAGAATGAAACACACACACACACACAGTGTTCCTCATTAGATCCCCATTTAAATTTTAACGATGAATAGTCAAAAACTACTTAAGTTTGCTTAAGTTCAGTAATACAGATAGCTAAAACTCTCATTTAAGAAACAAAAACCTCAATGAACTCTACGAAGCGTTCCATATGAATTTGTATATTTGATATATTACACAGTGAAACAGCATTATTTACTAAAAGACGTTTCGAATCCATACTTAAAATCAACACTTAGATTTCGATGTATTCTACCCTATGTCACTAAAATAGGGTTGGTGAAATGCTTAAGTAATTGGACAAAAAAGTAGAACCAAAGGAAATTTAAATCAGGAATTAAGAAATATAAAGGAAGGTTAGAGACTTAATAACTACCCTGATAAATTAAACAGGAAGTATGTGGGAAAATGTAAAAGTAAAATTAATAATAATGGTAGTGACAGTGATAATAATAATAATACTACTAATGACGACATGCATGCACAAGATAATGACAACACTAAAAATAGGGAATTCAAATCATCATTAGTACTCCCATACAAAGAAGAAACCCCAAAAACCTTACGGAGAATACTTAAGAATGCAGGAATAAAAGTGGTTGACTTTTAAATCCCCACAAGCTCAATTAGAAACTAGCTTTGTCGCTTAAAGGAACCTGCCAGTGGAACCAATTATACAAAACAATTTAGTTTATCTAATACGCTGCTGGAATGATTGCCAGGTCAAATACATAGGTCAAAGTAGTAGAACAGGGTCAGTTAGTCAGTCAGACTAGCGGAGCACACAAACCTAGCAGCAAAATCTAGATTAGTTGACCCCAATAATAAGATAAGAAGTCTCGAGAACATTTCAGCTACACCACTTACTGCATGCAGTTACATATAACCATACAATAGGATGGGATAAGATGACAGTTTTGAAATGCAGTGTAACGGGGTGCAGGGAGAGACTGACAACGGAAGCATTGTTTATCGAATCGACTGAGGAGAATACGTGTAATAGGAATGATTCAACACCTGTCCAGTTGGACATCTGGAGAGCTGTACTACCCTTACGACGACAAATATGAAAGAGTAAAGAAAACTATGAAACGAAAGTTTCGAAGTTGCGTGGTGATAATTGGCGATATGATAATGAACGGCGGTGAATTGTGTTCGAAACATTGTCACCCAGTAAATAATACCATTCCAAAGGGGGTGGTATAAACAATAAACAAATTAATATGGAATTAAATGCTACTGCAGTGCCCAATTTTTACACGTATATTAATCTTTAACTCTTGACATCACTCGTATGATTCATATCGATTACATTAAATATTCCTATAGTAAAATTTAGAATAACACATTTAAGTGTCCAATATTGTTTTTAAATTAGATCTCATCAAGCTTAACTCTGATATACATGACTTTACAAATAAATATAAACCACTCATGGTGTTTTGTCAATAGGATAATAAGCTTGTGCATACAAATTGTGCAAAATGACAGTTTTAACATCTAATGTAACACACTGGAAGGAGAGATTGATAACGGAAGCTGTATTTATCGAATCAAGTGCAAACAGGTGTAATAGGAATGATTCAACACCTGTCCAGTTGGACATCTGAAGAGTTCTACTACCCCTACGACGACGAATAGGAAGAAATAGAGAAAACCATAAAGCGAAAGTTTCGAAGTTGTGTGGTGATAATTGGCAATATGATTATGAGCGGTAATGAATTGTGTTCGAAACATTGCCACCCAGTAAGCAATAATACTGTTTCACTGTATGATATATCAAATAAAGAAATATAACATGCATTTAGATACTACTACAATACCCAAGTTTTGCACAATATATTGATTTGTACGAAGTGTTAATCAGGTGATTATTTTTTGCTCCATGTCAAACTGAAATTTTAGTCAAAACCCTGTTAGTATGATCTTGTCCGGTCCTCTGAGGCGAGTCACAGATGAACTCGGTAACAAGCAAGCAAACTGGCCATGCAGTATTTAAGACCATTT